TATGAAAATAATCAACCGGAAAAAAAAAAAAAGAAAGAAAATAATCTGAACCTACTGTTTTTGTTTTCTTCTCTAACATAGTGATACACGGAAAGTAACTTCTTCCTTAAAAACAGCTACAAAGTTTCAAACTACAATTATTATTGTACACCATTCATACATGAGAATTGTTACACCTCATTTTTCCAGACTAGACATTTGCCAGAGAAGTACATTTGCAGACAAGTACCTCCTATAGTTTTAACATATCATTTATAGATTTTTTGGTTTTTTGTTTGTTTTGAGACAGAGTCTTGCTCTGTCAGCCACGCTGGAGTGCAGTGGCACGATCTCAGCTCAATGCAACCTCCGTCTCCCAGGTTCAAGCAATTCTTCTGCCTCAGCCTCCTGAGTAGCTGGGATTACAGGTTCATGCCACTACACCGGGCTAATTTTTGTATTTCTGGTAGAGATGGGTATTCACCATGTTGGCCAGGTTGGTCTTGAACTCCTGACCTCAGGTGATCCACCTGCCTCATCCTCCCAAAGTGTTGGGATTACAGGCATGAGTCACTGTACTCAGCCTATAGATCATTTTCAGTTGGTTAGGATTTAACATTACAGTATCCCAAATATGGTTATTCTGTTTTAACTCCTCACAGGACAAGCAGCAGAAAAGATTTTAAAATGACCAATTCTAAAAATATTAATTAGCATCATTTGAGAAACAAAAATAAGAAGTACATTTGAAAATCTTAACAGTTCTACAGCACAACTACTCTAGTATATCTTTGGTTCTCTGATCTCTTCAAAGCCAAGTTTCTTGAAAGAAAACTAGTTTCTCTGCACCCTTCTTACCAAATGGAATCTGGTTTCTGTCCCATTAATCCACAGAAACTGCTGTGGCTAAGTTTCCCCATCAATGTTTTCAAATCTTATTTTTTTTACTTGATCCCTCTGAGCATCTGACACTATAAACCACTTCTCTCTTGGCTTCTGTAACTCCCCCTCTCCATTTGTTTCTCTACTTTTTGTCCTTTAAGTCTCCACTTAGTCCTTTCTCTCCAACCTGTAAAATAATGGTGCTCTTCAGGGAGCACTACTTAGCCCCTGTCTCTTTTCATTTTGAGCATTCTAATGCACCTCCACAGTTTGACCTAACACAGGAGAGTTTATCCTGGTCATTAAGATATCTCTCTATCTCCTACAAGAAATCTTTCATATGTCTGCTGCCAGAGTAATCTTTCTAGAACACAAACATAAGATCACACCCCTTGTTAAATTTCACTTAAATAAAAGCCCAAAATCCTAAGAATAAATATAAATAAATGACCTGTGCTTTCCTTTCCAAACTTACTTTCTCCGCTGCTCATCACAATTTTTCCATAGCTTTGTGTCTAAGTTTGTCTGTTCTTCAACTTAACCCCAATTCAAATGTCACCTCTGTGAAGCCTGAGTTTCACACTTCCTCTTCCCCTCTTATGTACTCTTTGTACATAAATTTTGTAATTATCTGCATTTACATCTTACTTTTCACTGGAGCCATTTAAAGGCACAACTACAATTAAAAAAAAAAAAAAAGACTAAAGACCTTGGAAATATCTGCAAAGGGAAATGATATTCAATATACTAACAAATATGCTAAACAGAAAAATAAGGGAAAGCAATCGAGTTACAACCATAACTGACTAATCTCCTTTAAGGCTAAAGAAAATCCATCCTTATTTATACAGAATAGCTAAGATCAAACCAACACTTAAGCTTGTCAAGATGCAATTTCTAACTGAACCTTGGTTTAAACAAAAAGAAGTGGTATTCAACCTTTTCAGCTGCAGCTGAAAATGGAATGACTTTTTACTGATAAGAGACACTGGCCTAATTATGTTAGTTCTCATTGAATGTGAAAGTTTAAAAGAGTAGTCATTCAAGGTAAACATACTAAGATGTACTGACAAAGTGTCTATCATTAAGAAAAACTAAGAATGAAAATAAGAACTGCAATAGAATCTGGTTTATTCTATTTCTTTAAAGTTGCAGCTAGCATATCTTAGTTACTACAGTGAAAGGGGTTATGGCAAAAATAGAAATAAACCCTATACTCAAACTACTTCACTTCTAAATTATAGAAATATGCCACAAAGTAACCTGCATCTTTTCTTTATACAGTATTTGCAAAATAAAAAAGGGTGTTATTATAATCACACACTGGAAATATGAATTAAAACTTATTACAATGTTGATATTAAATAGATTTGAATAAAGTTTTGTAACAAATATTTTGTTTGCTCACATTACACAAAAGTAACTGGGAACTACAATTTCCTTCTCAAATTCTTTTTTTTTTTTCTTTTTTTTAATGGACCAGGTCATCCAACCTTCTCAAATTCTTAAAAAGAACACCACCTCTAGGATGAATTAGTGATACTTCATAAAAACAATGAGCAGAGGATCAAAACAAGCATCCTCTTAAGTGCAGCATCTGGAAAAGAAAAACAGCAAGGTAGCTCATTTATGAAATCAAAGTCACACAAGCAGACTGGATATATTCAGACTGGATACCAGAATATATCCAGTTTACTAATCAAAACATACAAGCTTACCAATTAATAAAGGACTATGGTAGAGGTCCAAAACACACAGAAAGAGGACAAAAGAAAAAACAGGCAAGCCCCCTCACCTACTCCTTTTCTAATATAGAATAAGGATTTTAAGAAAAAGCTTTGAGCTCCCATAGGACTAATTATATACATACCTCAATTTCAACTTTTTATACTAAACTGCAACTACTTATTTTCACTTGTTTCCCTAATAAAACTACAAGTTTCATCTTTGTACCTTTAAAAAACACATATAGATCAATGGCTCCTGCCTATAAATCCCAGCACTTTTGGACTCCATGGAAGAGGATCTCTTAAGGCTACAAGTTCGAGACCAGCCTGGGCAACATAGCATGACCTCATCTCTCCAAAAAAAATTTAACAAATTTAAATTTTTTAATTAAAAAAATTTAAAAACCATATACATATATATGCTTCAATAGCCTTTCTGCTTTTGGATTCAATAAAGACCACAAATCCATGGATTAAGAAACATCCTGGGCAGAGGTTTTCTAACCTGCGCGCGCATGCGTGTGTGTGTGTTTTGAGACACAGCCTTGCTCTGTTGCCCAGGCTGGAGTGCAGTGGGGCAATCTCTGCTCACTGCAAACCTCCCCCCACCCCCAGATTCAAGTGATTCTCCTGCCTCAGCCTCCTGATTAGCTACAGGCACGCCACCATGCCTGGCTAATTTCTGTATTTTTAGTACAGACAGGTTTTCACCATATTGGCCAGGTGGATCTTGAACTCCTGACCTCGTGATCCAGCCGCCTTAGCCTCCCAAAGTACTGGGATTACAGGCGTGAGCCACTGCACCCAGCCACATCTGCTGCCTTTGCCTTTTAAAAAGTTAAATATCTATGATTTTCTCTCTTTTTTTTTTTTGAAACCGGAGTCTCCCTTTACCGCCCAGGCTGGAGTGCAGTGGTGCAATCTCTGCTCACTGCGACTATGCCTCCTGAGCTCAAGCAATTCTTCTGCCTCAGCCTCCTGGGTAGCTGGAAACACAGAAGCCCAACACCACGCCTGGCTAATTTTTGTATTTTTAGTAGAGATGGGGTTTCACCATGTTGGCCAGGTTGGTCTTGCACTCCTGACCTCAAGTGATCCGCCACCTTGGCCTCTCAAAGTGTTGGGATTACAGGCATAAGACACCATGCCCGGCCACTACATGGTTTTCTCTGAAACAATCCTGAAACGCTCCTAACCCAACTTTTGGTTGCAGAAGTAAGTTTTTCAGAAGACTAGCATCAGGAGCTGCTGTCTCTTACCCAAATGTACATTCCCTGCCCCCTTTATATCATGATATTTGAGAAAGACCTATTCTAGTCCTAAGTGGTCTATAAAAGTAATTCTGACTTTCTCCCAAATAAGTGTCACTACTTGTTTCATATATAATGACGAAATTAAAAACCATTACACTACGAGAATTACAACCAGTAATGAAGTCTTTAAACAATTTTTGCAATGATCACAGAATAAGTCAAGATAGTATTCTACAAGCCCATTACAAAGCAGGAAACCTTCGGATGATTGATTCCTCTCTATAAATCCTGAGTAAACTCAGTAATGTTTAAAAAAAAAACTGAGAATAAGGTTAGAAGTAGCAAAAATCTGGTACTTTACTATCTCCTTTCTCAACTTGTCCATAATCTCCACCCTCCCATACACATTCCTCCACTCTAACATATTAAAATAAAAACGCTGATAAGTTGATCTTTCTCTCTCTAACCCTCATTTAGTCAGCAAGAAAAGTTATACAATGTGCAAAAGTGAACACAGAATAGACACGTTAAGGAGGTAAAGCGTTCCAAAAAGATCAAATGAATCAAAAAGTTCTGAATTAACAGACTTGGTAAAGACACCAGTTCCCACCCCCCCCCCCCGACTTTAAAAGGCAGCAACTGGAATAAATCAAGATAAAAAAAGAATCACAAAAATAGTGCAGGACTGTGTGGAAAGAAACTTTACAATTTTCAGTGTCAAACTGCAACATGATAAAGCAACAGTATTCCTCAAACTGTTTATTTTTTCTCCATCTAATAACCTAAGTCAGCTTCACATAAAATACAAAGTTTCTGTACCAGCAAAAATACAAATGCTAATGAAACTTCGGCTTCTAAGGTATTAGAATCACAAAAAGAGTGCAGAACGTAACTTTACAATTTTCAGTGTCAAACTGCAATATGATAAAGCAACAGTATTCCTCAAACTGTTACGAATATTTTTTTCTCCATCTAATAACCTAAGTCAACTTCACATAAAATAGAAAGTTTCTGTAACAGCAAAATTACAAATGCTAATGAAACTTGAGCTTCTAAGGTATTATTACAAATCGGACTTTACTGTCTTAGATTTCATTAGCTTAACCCAATCCACAGCAAAGTTAATGTTAAAAAGCAGTATACCCAATGAAGCAATCTTAGGAACAACGCTATCGTGTGACACATGGGGAACTACGAAAGAACAACTTACTTTCAGTATACTGACTCAGGGAGAAATAAGCGGTTCTGATGGTTCAAAGTTACGCTCGTCTCACAGACCTAGTGATGACGCGAAAGGCAACTTTAGTGACACACCCAGCGCCGACCGCCACGTTAAGGATACAGCTCTTCCGAGGTGGAGAGGGCTCTCGCCAGCTCTGACTGCTACTGAATCCGGATCCTGCTCCTCCTCCCAGAGGAGGTCTACACCCCGGCTTGCCTCCTCGCTCACCCACTCCTCGCCCCCGACTCCAGCGACTCCCACCCCGGTAAGGCCTGCCTCGAAAGCGGAAACGGTCCAAGGCGAGGTGGCTCCGCTCCCAGAAAGACGGCCGGGGACTGCTTTCGGACAGTGAGCTCGAAGGCATCCGCACAGAGGGCGGATGAGACCGGAATGGTTCTTTGGGTCGGTAGCTGCTGGGTCCCCTGAGGTGGCCCCGCTCAGACGCGTGCCGCGAGCGTGAGAAATTCCTCAGCTGCTGCTGAGAAGAGGACGATGACGAGGAAGAGCCACCGCCTCCGCCAGATCCACCGCCCCGGGCCGAGTGAGGAGGCCTTCGCCGCGGATACGGTAACAGCCCGCCGCCACTGCTGCTGCTGCTGCTCCGGCTCCGTATCTGGCTGTTGTTATCGTCGTCACTGATTTCCCCATCTTCAAGCTCCCCTTCTTCCTTCGGCGAGAGGCCACTGGAGGCCGGGGCCGGAGTATCTACGGTCGCCATCCGGGGAGCAACGCCTTCCACACAACCTTAGCCCTCCGTCCGGGGATCCGCCCGGCAATTGCCTCGTTTCCCGTCTTTCCTAACGGACCGGGTCGGTGCGGTCTTACCCTACTCGGACACCTAGCGGCCTCGGCTCCCCAACTTCCCGGCACCCCAGCTCTCTCTCACCGGACCGTCGCAACCCACTTCCCTTTCCTAGCGCCCCCTTGCTCCTCAGCGATCGGGGTTCTTCCGCCTCGCGAGAAATGGGCTCAGGTAGCGGCTGTGCACAAAACGTCACTTCCTGCGACACGCAGGAAACAAAGGCTCCCAATTCGCGCGATAATAAGAACCACGCGATATTCACTGGGATTTGTAGTCTCTCGTCCTTCTTCGGCTTTACTTTTCCGGTCTACGGGTCACACCCACCTCAGGATCTGGCCTGGTACAGCTGGGTGCATGCAGAAGTAAGCGGAGCTGCTCTTAGTCGCAGCCTTGAGAGAGTTTTATTGTAAAACTCTTTATCGTTATTTATAATAATCGGAGGGGAAAACACCTCTTCCTTTAATTGTTTTGAGGACCGCTGCCAAAGAAACGCAGTACACCTGCTCCCTCTTGGGGGCGGGGAAAAAGAACAGGTTGTGTCCGCCATGTTGGTGAAGTCAAACGAAGGCGACTAGAGCTCCAGGAGGGCCAGTTCTGTGGCCTTTAGTCCGCCATATTAATAAAGAGAAACGGAAGGCTGACCCTCCCTCGCCTCCGCCCCCACATACACACCCCTTCTTCCCACTCGGCTCTCACGATTAAGGCACGCCTGCCTCGATTGTCCAGCCTCTGCCAGAAGGAAACTTAGCAGCCAGCGCCTCAGTAGAGACCTAAGGGCGCTGAATGAGTGGGAAAGGGAAATGCCGACCAATTGCGCCGCGGCGGGCTGTGCCACTACCTACAACAAGCACATTAACATCAGCTTCCACAGGTAACCTGGGCAGGGAGTGGCGGTGACGGAGACGGGAGTTCCTATTCTTGGTATCGTTTGTGTAGAAGGAACAGGAGGATTCTAATTCTAATAACTTTCCCAGCTGGTAACAGGAAAGCATCATATGTCCTTTGTGTTTCTCAAATCTGTCCAATTTTACCCTGCTTTCGGGGAAGCTTTACTAATTTTCTAAAAGAAATCCAAGTACTGTGTGGTGATTACCGCTTAGTAAAAAAGTAACAAGAGGATATCGTAATTTTTCACTTTTACCCCCAGGTTAGACCGGGTCTTGACGAGAATGACGCCGTAAGGGAGACAGAGATCTTCCCATTCAATCAGCAATCTCCTTAAAAGCCTGCTGTGTTCCCGTTAAAATTAGGAAATTCTCACTAGATGAATTGACATGGGAGGCATTTATATTTCTAACCTAATTAATCGAATCTAAGTAATTCTGCGGAGGAATTGAGTCATCTTTGATAGCCATGGAATTAAGCGATGTTAATTAAAGTGAAAAAGATAACCTTTTTGTTCTTACTAGAACAGTAATAAAAAGAACCTAGGTTTTCTTTTGTTTGCTGGAAGAAAAATCAAAATTCCTTAGTTCTGTCAAGCCAGAATTCTTAAAAGCATTTTGAACTATGCCTGGGAAATAACAGGTACTAGGCAAATTGTTTACCCTCTCTGTAAGTGCCCGCCATGTGCCTGAAGAAAAGACACATTAAAAAGTTAAGTGACACTAGTTCTGACTTTATATATTTTATATACCCAACAACGTATATGTTGGTATGTAGAAATTATATCGTTGTCCTTTTTCCCTACCTCACTATTACGAACTGTACTTTTATTAAAAGCTGCCACTTAAAAAAAAAATCCTTGTGATCTTTCTGTTTTTAAACCAATTCACGCATATGTAGTGCTTTATTCATTCATCCATCAAATATGTACGGAGTTTCTAATTGCCTGACATTGTGCAAAGGATCCGGAAAGTTCTAACCCTCCTGGAGTTTAACATTTAATCGTAGATAAAGACATAAATAATTATAATTAAGTGCCACAAAAGAAACATTAAGAGACCTAACTTAGTCTTGGAAAGTCAAAGAGCACTTCTCAAAGGATATGACATTTCAAATGAGATGATGACAGATTTGGTCCTGTATGCTGCTTAAGTATTTTCTGTTTTATCCTAAGAGTACTTGAGAAGTCCTGGAGAGTTTAAGAAGAATGGCATGATTAGATTTGCATATTAAAAAGTCTTCTGGCTGCAGTGTGGAGAATCGTGGGATTACTGAAAGTGCTGGTCAAGCATCATCAGGGATGAACTTGATGAGAAAGGAACTTATTACAGAATATTAATTTACCTATTTTTTCTTTCACAGGGAAGTCTTTCTACAGTGTCAACTAAACTAAACCCTGTACTCAGTTGCTAGCACAATCAGCATTGGATTAGGTAAGGTGAGAGCTGACAGAGAAAAACTAGGAAGCTGTAGTAAATAAAACAAGGAAAGTCTACCCAATTTTTCAGAGTAGGGTGGTATTAGAGTAGAAATGGAGTTGAGGAGACAAGTTTGAGAAATGCTAGAGGAGAAACTAATGAATTTAGCAATTTCATTGGATAGATGAGAGGGGAGTCCAGGCACCAATAACAATGTTTAGCCCATCGTGATGGCTCACACCTGTAATCCCCGCACTTCGGGAGGCCAGGGCAGGCTGATCACTTGAGCTCAAGAGTTTGAGACCAGCCTAGGCAACATGGTGAAACCTGTCTCTACAAAAAAAAATACACAAAATTAGCTGGGTGTCGTGGTGCATGACTAATCCCAGCTACTCAGGAGGCTGAGGTGGGAAGACTACCCAAACTAGGGAAATCGAGGCTGCAGTGAACCATGATCATGCCACTGTACTCCAGCCTGGGCAATGCAGTGAGACCCTGTCTCAAATAAATAAATAAATAAAAAAGGGATGAATGGTGGTACAATAACGTGCATAAAATTTGCCTGCTATGAACTTAACATTTTCATGTGTAACCTCAGAAATTTAGATCTTAAATTAGTATTCATTATAATAAAATTACATTCCTATTTTGTAAATACAAACCAGGCTTAATTAATTCACTCCTTTCCTACTAAGATATTAGTAGACTTCTTTTTTTTGTTGTTTTTTTGAGACGAGCCTCACTTTGTTGCCCAGGCTGGAGTGCAGTGGTGAGATCTCGTCTCACTGCAACTTCCACCTCCTAGGTTCCAGCTATTCTCCTGCCTCAGCCTCCCGAGTACCTGGGATTACAGGGGTGTGCCACCACGCCCAGCTAATTTTTGTATTCTTTAGTAGAGATGGGGTTTCACCCTATTGGGCAGCCTGGTCTCGAACTCCTGACCTTGTGACCCGTCTGCCTCCGCCTCCCAAAGTGCTGGAATTACAGGCGTGAGCCCTTGCACCCAGCCGTTAGTAGACTTCTATATCTCCATGTGCAAGTTATTTTGCTTAAACTTACTGTATGTTTCTTACCTCTTAGCCCACTCTAAAGTTTCCCCAGTAATCTGAAATTGCTCTCGCTAACATGACCTCTATGTCTCTACATTCATTTTTCATGCTGTATGATCATTTTCTCCTTGAAATACTCTCTAATTTTGAATTATTTTAATTTTATGATTATCTTCTTACTTTTTTGGGCTGTCTTCAATCACCTCTGCTGCTCTTCTCTCTACACCTTAGCCCAGGTCTTCACATTCATATCAAAATAATTTCAGTTGTTCCTGTGGTCTCAGCATCTACTTGTTGATGCCGCCCAAATCAATGTCTCCAATCCATCTCCTTCTAATGAGATCCAGACTTATAGGCCAAGTGTCTACCCAGTATTTCTCTGGTCTCCTTCCAGTTACCCAGATTCATTATCTATATTGACAAACTGCCCTTCCCCAAACATACCCCCACTTCCTGTACTCTGTTTCTCAGTGAATGAAGACACCATCAATCTGGAAATTTGAAAGTCTTCCTCCCTTGACTTCTCACCATTACCTCTTAATTAGATTATTGCAATAGGCTCTTAACTGGCTCACTGCTTCCATCCATGTACTGCTAGCCACTCTTCTATAATTAGTAGTATGTTGCTAAATATTTAATAAATAGTTATCTAGGGAGGGGGAAAAGCCCTGATTTGTAGTGTGTCCCTGCTTTCTATGATATAAATATTACTCCCAAGTCTAGTTTCAAGCTATCAATATGACATCAGTGATCATGGAGTTGGGAAGAGATGTGCAGTCTCATACTATTCTGTAGTATTTCCACCATACAGATACAACAGGCATAACCTTAAGAGTAAAGGTGACAGTTAAATCACTAGGAAATTTGGGAGTTTTGGTTATTTATTACCTTTCCTTTTAATGTATTTAACTGTAAATTTATATAATTTAATTTTTAATAATAGCTGTGTTTAACAACTGGCACACAAATTTTCTGTTAACAATCAGCTCTCACAATTAGCCTTTTAATGACTTATCATTGCCATTTTGGATAAGGTTCAAAATTACTCTTTGATTTAGAAGGCCCTCCAGTATTGTTTCATGATATAACACTATTCTCTGTCCCCGAGATATTCTTAGCACTGTTTACTGTCGCACCCTAACTTCCCTAGCTGATCCCTATAATTTTTAAGGCCTTCTGACTAGACTGGCTCTTCCCTGTTTTATGGTTTCATACAACCCTGTACTTACCCTTTTATAAGACTCATGGACACTTGTAGTTACTTTTATTATAATAATAAATAGCATTTATTTAGTATTTAGCATGTACTGTGCACTGGGCTAAGCATTTACTCACATTTTTTCGTTTAATCTGTATGACCACACTAGGTGCTATTCTTATCCCCACTTTATAGATGATAAAAAGGAGACCTGAAAAGGTTAACTTGCCTAAAGTCACCCAGATATTATGCACGGGAGCCAAGATTAGTGCCCTGGTTTGAGTCTAGAGACAGTGGCCTCTCTGTTCTATTGCGTCCAGCTATTTAATTCCCTACATTCCCCATTACCATATACACTAATGGAAGAAAGGTACTATGTCTGTTTTGTTTACTACTATGTCTTCAGTGCCTAGGACAGTGCCTGGAATGTAAGAGGCATTCAACTAATTATTGAAGATGCACACAAAATAGCGCTGTTTAAACTACTGAGTGATTTTACAAAACATCCAGTGATTATTATGAGACTGGTTCTATTACTGAGGTGAGGCTAGGCAGAGTAAATAAGTTATCAGAAAATCTCTACTTCCAGCCAGGCATAGTGGCTCATGCCTGTAATCCTAGCACTTTGGGAGGCCAAGTCAGGTGAATCACCAGAGGTCAAGAGTTTGAGACCAGCCTGGCCAACATGGTGAAACCTGTCTCTACTAAAAATACAAAAAAAAAAAAAAAATTAGGTGTGGTGGTAGGCATCTGCAATCCTAGCTACTCAGAAGCCTGAGGCAGGAAAATCGCTTGAACCCGGGAGGCAGAGGTTGCAGTGAGCAGAGATTGTGCCACTGCACTCCAGCCTGGGCAACAAGAGTGAAACTCCGTCTCAAAAAAAAAAAGAAATTCTCTTTAGGAAAAAACCTATATGTGAATTGTAGAGTGACATACAGATGTTAGTATCTTCAGATCGGTGTACGTATAGGGTTGAGGGTGATGGGGACAGAAGATGGGAGAGTGTTGACTAAATCTGAACATTTCTTTGTGCTCCTCATTTCTGGTAATGTGAGCAAACCTAGTAGATGCGATATACCCAAAGGCGTTACATACGGAGGCTGCATTTGGGGGCTTCTGAACCACATAATCTTCTAACTTGGATTTTGTGGGCTTTTTGAACACTAGTCATTTCATAATATTTAAAGGATAATGTAGTCAAACTAAAGAGTTTTATACAAACTTACTGCATATGAATGTTAATTCTTATATTTCCAAGTCACTGGTAGAATTTTTAGAGATAGCCCCTTATATTTGTCTCTTCCTTAAGAGGTACACCCTGGATGCATATTAGTATACAGTTGACCCTTGAACAATGCAGGGTTTCGGGGCTCAGAAGCTCCCTCACCACACAGTCAAAAATCGGAGTATGACTTTTGGTTCCCCAAAAATTGAACTCCTAGACCGGGCACGGTGGCTCACGCCTGTAATCCCAGCACTTTGGGAAGCCGAGGCCGGCGGATCACAAGGTCAAGAGCTCGAGAACATCCTGGCCAACATGGTGAAAAAAAAAAAAAAAAAAAAAATTGAACTACTAATAGCCTTACCAATAACATAAACAATCAATCAACACATATTTTGTATGTTGTGTTCTATACAGTATTCTTACAATAAAGTAAGCCAGAGAAAAGAAAATGTTATTAAGAAAATCCTTCTGGGCATGGATCTTAAAGAAATTCAAGAGCTGATCACACCTGTAATCCCAACACTTTGGGAGGCCAAGGCGGGTGGATCACCTGAGGTCGAGAGTTCGAGACCAGCCTGGCCAACATAGTGAAACCCTATCTCTAACTAAAAATACAAAATTAGCTGGGTGTGGTGGCACATGCCAGTAATCCCAGCTACTCAGGAGGCCAAAACAGGAGAATTGCTTGAACCTGGGAGGCAGAGGTTATAGTGAGTCGAGATCGCGCCATTGCACTCCAGCCTGGGCAACAAGAGTGAAACTCTTGTCTCAGAGAAAAGAAAAGAAAATCCTAAGGAAGAGGAAATATATTTACTATTCATTAAGTGGAAGTAGATCACTATAAAGGTCTTCATCCTTGTCATCTTCACATTGATTAGGCTGAGGAGGAGGGAGAAGAGGAGGGTTGGTTTGATGCCTCAGACATGGCAAAGGTGAAAGAGTTGGATAGGGAGGCAGGAAAGGAAGGCACACTTGGTCTAACTTTATGGAAATACATCATAATTTCTGCCTTACTCTTTTTCATTTCTCTAAAAATGGTTCTATATTGTACCAATCCTTCCCTGTTTGCTTTTATTTCAGTGATCCTATTATAGAAGGGTCCGTGTTATAAAAGAAGTCAAAAGCAGTCTTGAATAATCAGAACCCTTCTGCCAGATTTTCTAATGTCAATTTTCTGGCACTGCTTCTTATACATCTTCTTCCTCATCATCTGGCAGTGGTTCAGAAGCACTCACCTCCATCAAGCAGTCTTCTGTTAATTCCTCTGGTGTGGTTTCTTAAATCAGCTCTTGAAGTACTTTAAGATCCATATCTTGAAACCTGTCATTGCCCACCTTTTTTGCCATATCTACAATCTCTTTCATGATTTCCCTTATCAGCCCTGTTACAAAGACTGTGAGGTTATGCGCAACATACCCACATACTTTCTTTTGCAGGTATTTATTGTTTGGGGCTTGTTGTCTTTCACCACTTTTTCTGTAACAGTTTTCAATGGTACAATCCTTTTATACTTCCATGATGTTCTCTATCTCTGTTAGGGTTTTCTTCCATAGCGTTGGCAGTCCTTTCCATAGAGTACCATATGTAATGATCCTTAAAACTTGTGAACCTCTGATCTAGAAGTTGAATTAAAGACATTGAATTTGAGGACAGGTAGACCACTTTGACACTTTCTGTGTTGGACTCATGAATCTGGGTGTCCAGGGGCATTGTCCAAAATGGAAAGAACTTTAAAAGGCAGTACCTTACTAACAACATACTTCCTAAATTCAATGGAACCAATCCAGAAAAAAGAGTTCTTATTGTCCAGGCCTTCTTATTTTACAACAAAAAGATTGGCTGCTGGTGTTTATTTTTCCCTTTCATGCCTCAGGGTTTAGCAAGTTTATAGATGAAAGCAGAACTGATATAAACCCAACTGCATTTGTACAAACGAGAGTTCAGCCTATCCCTTCTTGCCTAAATCCTGATGTTTGCTTTTCTTTCTTACTAATATATATCCTTTGTGGCACTTTTTTCAAAAAAGGGCACTTTTGCCTGCATCAAAAACCTGTTCAGACAGATATCCTTTCTCCTGAATGATCTTAATGGTATACGGGAACTCATCCACAGCCTCTTGCTCAGCAGAAGCTGTTTCTCTGTTATCTTGGCATTTTTTAAGCCAAACCTCTTTTTAAAATCATCAGACATCCTCTGATGACATTAAATTCTGCAGCTTTAGATCATTCACCTTCCTTGTGTTTAATCATATAACAACCTCACTTTTTCTTTAATCATATTACAGTTCTATATAAACTCTAATATGATTTCGTTGTAAACTTTTCTTTCTAAAAAGAAAAAAAAAAAATCTACCTGTAGTCCTGGAATATAGGTATGCCTTTCTTACGGCAATTGTGCACTCACATAAAAGCTGCATTTCCCCTATGGAATAGATATTTCACAAAAAGTGCAAGGTTTTTGCACCTGCTGGCACAGCTGTAGCAATAGCTTGATGAATTTTTTTTTTTACAATGGCGCTAGATTTATTTATTTTAAATTGGCAAGCAATCACAACTGCAGACCTAAATATCTCTCTCTCTCTTTATATATATGTGTGTGTGTGTGTGTGTGTGTGTGTGTGTGTGTGTGTATATATATATCATGCTATTATTTGAAGCTTATGGTATTACACTAAATACAATGAAAAATATGCAAGAACTACTAGAGATCACATTCTGCCTTGATACACAATTTACTGGAGAGACAAATTGCTCAGAGATAATTAGCATCACACGGCACTTTAAGTGGGTACTCACAGCACTTACCGAGCTCAGCACAATAGCAACAAAAGATGGCTATGAAATTGTTACAGTAGTACAGTATATGCTACAGTTAGTTTTATGCAATTATTACTGCATCTTTACATTTGTTTACATTCTTCTGGACTGAAGGATGCCATGTATGGTTTCTGTATAAATGTTTTATAATTTTAACTTTTTAAAATTTGTGTATATTTTGTGGTAGTAAATGATAAAATAGACTAGTATCTACATATGTTTTATGTATTCATAACATACCTTTTTCTTAATTTTTTTGATACTTCCAGGCTACATGGTTTGTCTGCAAGTTTTTTCCAATTGTTTCAAATTCCAGTATATTTATTGAAAAAATATACATATAATTGGACTTATGTAGTTCAAATCCCATGTTGTTAAAGGGTCAACTATGTTTTATATTTGAAATATGAAAGGAAAAACTTTGCTACAAAGTATTTTGCCTTTTTGTAGGTAGTCTTTCTGCTGCACTACTAATTGAAGAGTTGACTTTTTAAAAATATTTGCTGTTTACATAAAATACAGTATATTATTAAATATTCTGTATTTGTATTAATTCAGCAAATTTTGTTGAATTCCTACTGTTTGCAAAGCATTGTGCTAAGTGTCAAAGATAAATACATGACAGGATGTGATGATAATGATCCCTGTCCTCAAGAAATTTGTAATCTTTATGTTACTGCAAACTAAAATGGAAAAATTACAAAACAATGTGGTAAGTGTCACAGTGATGTGACATAGAGGAAGAAGTACCAGATTCTGCCTAGGTTTTCCTTGACAAAATTTAATCTTTAGATAATCTGATTTTTCTTGACTACATATATCAGCAGCAGATTAAAGTATGGTGAAATTATTCCTGCTTATAATGGTTCTACTTAAACTTGATCTAAATCAGTTTAGTCATGCTTTATTTTACTGCCCAGGTTAAGGGCTAATTGGGAAGAAATGTGTCTTTTTAAAAACCCTGAAAAATAAAACCACTCAAGTCAGGTTTTGACTAATTTTTTTTTAACTTATAAAACATTACCATGAATTGGTTTCTGTTCCAGTGTCTGGATATTGTGAGTTTAAATTTTTTTAATGTAAATGGGACACATTTTTAATCATTACCTTCTAAATTTCTTTTAATCCTTTAGGAGCAACCAGAATTATGATAGTTGGAATTTGAGTTGCCTATTTTTTTTTTAAGGTTTCCTTTGGATCCTAAAAGAAGAAAAGAATGGGTTCGCCTGGTTAGGCGCAAAAATTTTGTGCCAGGAAAACACACTTTTCTTTGTTCAAAGCACTTTGAAGCCTCCTGTTTTGACCTAACAGGACAAACTCGACGACTTAAAATGGATGCTGTTCCAACCATTTTTGATTTTTGTACCCATATAAAGTCTATGGTAGGTAATGTTACTCTCCTTTTTAAAAAACCATTTTTAGAACCCATTCCTTTTGTTTATGCAGTTATTAACTGAAATTCATTTATAGTGATATGCCTCAAGAAAGTTGCAGACCTTCCTCTTGTACAGTAAAGGTGCAGGCTGGAATCAGAGTTCGGGTCTCCTGACTCCAATATTCTTTCCCCAATCCAAATTGTTTTACTATATTGGAATTTTACATTATTACTAATTATTATTAATAATTAGACCATTGGCAAAACTGAAAAATCATATGAGCAATGAAACATCCAGCATCACTCTGCTCTGATTTAAAAATAACATACAAATAGCATGTGCAAATTACTTTAAGAGCACCACAGCTAGAGTTACACCAAAGAATGTAAGTTCAGAGAGAGGCAGGCATAACAGAAAACTTCAGAGAGCTTGGGCATTTAGGGTGGGCTTTTGAAGCCCGGGGAGTTTAAAATAGAGGAAAGCGATCTTGGCCTTGCACAGAACAATTACAGTTGCATAATGAGAACAAAAACCAATGGGTTGAGGGATGAGTAGGAAATAAATGTTAGAAAGTGATATTTAAAAGGAAGGAATGAAGAAAAAGTAAAATAAAAAAGGAAAGATTTAAGGTGCAAGATGAATGAATTAAAACAATGTTTTATCTAGTCAGGGAAGATCTGACCAGAGAGGAAAACCTAGGTGGGAAAGACAGGGTCCCCAAAGGTCAGAATGGGTAAGATGAATACAAATAGTTTAGCTTTGAAAAGGAGGACAAACATGTTTTCCTCTGAGAGAAGAAAAACTACTGTTTCTCTTGTTTGTAACAGTTAAACTTTTAAATGTTATTAGTTATTATTTGAATGGGAGAGGAGGTTGTGGTAAGCTAATTACCACTGATGTTAGAAAAGCTCCAGGAGGGCAGGAACTTTTGTCTTTTTCCCTTGTGAATCTTCAGCACCTCAAACAGTGCCTGGGACATAGTATATACTCAGATACTTACTGAATTTGAAATATACCTTATTTTTGATATTTTGATCATTTATTTATTTAATAAATACAACTAACTTTTCATTATGCGAGAATCTGAGCTTAGTGCTGGAGATATAAAGATCAAAAAAGGGCCGGGCGCGGTGGCTCAAGCCTGTAATCCCAGCACTTTGGGAGGCCGAGGCGGGTGGATCACGAGGTCAAGAGATCGAGACCATCCTGGTCAACAAGAGCGAAACTCTGTCTTAAAAAAAAAAAAAAAAAAAAGGATCAAAAAAGAGTTCCTGTCAATTCCCTAGGCAGAGGGACTAACTGTAGGTTTCATGAGGATATTTGTCTTATTTGTTCAGTGTAGTGTCCCCAGGAATTCATAGTATGTGTTTCGATAAATGTTTAATGAATGAAAAACACAGACTTATGAGGATATGATATAATCTGGAAACTCTCAGTGGCTTAGTATTGCTGGAGTATAAATCAAGATGGTAAATTGCACAATGTGGTGAGATCCTAAATTGTATAGTATGCCATGTAAAAATTTTTTTTTTCCTTTAGATAATGGATAGGCAAAGAATAATTTGGCCAGAATAGAAATGGCAAATATTCTAGAAAAATTATCCTCATGGCAGAATGTGGATTAATGAGGATCAAAATGCAGTGGAGAGATCAATAATGAATAATATAGTCAGAACAGATATGATATGAGCCCAATATACATAGTGACATTAAGAATGACAGTGTTCAGTCTTATTGTGTAACAGAGAAAGAAAAAAAAAGAATGACAGAGAGGAGAGGATTCATGATAGGAATATTTAGGAGGTAGAATTAACAGGACTTGACCATTTGAATGAAAGAGAGAAAAAAAAATCTCCTGATTTGGGCAAATGTTCCTAGCCAGATTTTAAATCCTTGAAGATGTAACCATGAAGAATTAATAGGTAAATCTATTTAGAAGCTTGATACTTAAGAATATATTTCTACACATCCTTCAGTTTTCAATAAGTAGGACCCTGGGTCTAAAATATTCATCAAATTGAGAAAATGGTGTTTAATTAAAAGGGGATCAAATTAATTTCATAAATAATAAAATATCAACATATATTCTGAATTGACCTTGGTAAGTAAATTGCAAAGGATCTTTAAAGTCTCTATGGAATCATAGTCAATAATTTGGAAGAAACCTTGGAAGTCTATTGTCTATTTCCAAATCAGTGTTTGAATCTCTCTGGATATAGGACAAAAAGAAATAGGTGACTACAGTCAATTCGACCAGTTAAAAAACTTAATCTTGGATTACATGAGATGGCTGCTGCCATTTCCTATTAAAGTTTTAAAATTGACTTTTTAAAAAGCAGTTTAAATACTTTGTTATCCAGAACTGGACAGTATTTGCTTATTTGTGATGTTTCATAATTTATGTTCAACCCTCTAATTTTATTCGGCTCAGAAACTCAAGTCAAGGAATCTTTTGAAGAAAAACAACAGTTGTTCTCCAGCTGGACCATCTAATTTAAAATCAAACATTAGTAGTCAGCAAGTACTACTTGAACACAGTTATGCCTTTAGGAATCCTATGGAGGCAAAAAAGAGGATAATTAAACTGGAAAAAGAAATAGCGAGCTTAAGAAGAAAAATGAAAACCTGCCTACAAAAGGAACGCAGAGCTACTCAAAGATGGATCAAAGCCACGTGTTTGGTAAAGAATTTAGAAGCAAATAATGTATTACCTAAAGGTACATCAGAACACATTTTACCAACTGCCTTAAGAAGTCTTCCTTTGGAAGATTTTAAGCTCCTTGAACAAGATCAGCAAGATAAAACACTGCCAAGTATAAATCTAAAACAGACCAAGAGTACCTTCATTTAAGTTTAGCTTGCACAGAGCTTGATAGCTATCCTTCATTCTCTTCAGAGGTAAATTATGGTACTTATGCCAAAATACATTATTTAATAAAGTTTTACTTGAAGTAACATCACTATGTAATTTGTGAAGACTTGACAAAAGAACAAAAAACTTTTTATGAAAATTTTATTTGAAAATGAATGGAAGTGCCTTACATTAGAATTATGTACTTAAAAATTTTCCTAGGAAAGTGTTTGTTTGAAAGGCGTTTTTTGTTTTTGTCTTTTTAAACTACTGTTAAAGAACAGCTTATGATAAGTAATATGTTTAACTTATATTAGAAAAGAATTTTTTCCTGTACCAAAGTTGGCATATTGCATTCTAAATAAGATGCGAAATAGGAGTTAACCAACATTTAACATGACCTTAAAACTGCTGGGGTTTGTATTAATTAAATTATAATAGGCACTGTGATTTGAAAAATTTATAGAAAAGAAAAGGTACTGGCTCGCGCATGTAATCCCAGCACTTTGGGAGGCCAAGGCAGGAGGATCACGAGGTCAAGAGATCGAGACTATTCTGGCCAACATGGTGAAACCCCGTCTCTACTAAAAATACAAAAAATTAGCTGGGTGTGGTGGCACGCACCTGTAGTCCCAGCTACTCAGGAGGATGAGGCAGGAGAATTGCTTGAACCCGGGAGACGGAGGTTGCAGTGAGCCGAGTCGCGCCACTGCACTCCAGCCTGGCGCCTGGTGACGGAGTCAGACTCTATCTCAAAGAAAAGAAAAGGTACAGGGCAAGTTTTTAAATTTAAACTTTCTGTATTTTTTTTAACCAGTAAAAGTGAGATTATGATGGCCTCTCTCATAAGAATATTCGATTTTAAAATAGGTTGTAAAATATTTTGAAAATATTTGAATGTGAGGTACCATTGAGTCATCCAAACTAGGTAAAGCCTCAAGTACTTCAAATTAGTAAAATCTAGTAGGTGATTATATTCACCTAAGAAAACGTAAAATAATTTAGAGTTCAGGACCTAGCTTTTATCTTAAACAAATAGATAAATGTATACTACTCTTTTTCTCATAATAAAAATCTTACATTTCCATTCAAAATTGGTGCTCCCATATTTGTTGATAACCAAAACTCCTAAACTTTTTTTTTTCTTTTTAACTACTTTCCAAATACATACTATACCTCAAAAATAGCAAGCGTATCAATATCGTGGGCTTTTTCTTTCCTCTTCATAAACCCACAGTAAAATTTAATCACGGGAAACTACTTATATCTTCACAATTTGTATTAATAACCTAAAATGTTATCACTTTATCTTAGACATCAGCTTGCTTTTTATTTCCTTTATTAGTGAGTGAAATAGAGCAACCAGCATGCCTGTCTTCCCAGCTATTTGGGAAGCTAAGGTGGGAAGATCACTTGAGCCTAGGAGGTTGAGGCTGTAGTGAGCTGTGATTGCACCACTGTACTCCAGCCTGGGCGATGGAGTAAGACTCCTGTTTCTAAAACAACAACAACAACAACAAAAAAAAAACAAATAGAGCAACCATAGTGCATAAGGGAAATGTTCCCTATGGAAATATATGTATGTCTGTGATAGTGGTATGCAAATGCTAATTATTTTACAAAATAAAAGTACCAGAACTATTCTTATTATTGCCACTCGAACAACTAAAGGGTTTGCTTTATTTTACTAATGTTTAAAAGGAACTCTTTGCTTCAAACAGCTTTGTTGAAATCATGTAAAAATTTGCTAATATATAATCAAGTTATTTAACTCAACTTATTTAATTCAAGCTTGCGATACTAACATATGAAGGTAGCATATACCAAGTCATAAATTGTTGTAAATCTTCCCTGTAAAGTAAGAGCTACTTTATGATTTTTTAAAAAAACTTTTTTTGCCAGCCATTAACAATTGCATTTGCTTGGATCCTAGCAACAATTCTTTTACAGTATTAGCACTCTTTTTACTAAGGAATGCCTCCCAACGAAATGCAAAAGTAGGAAAAAGTCTCTTATAATTCCCAGAGGTATTTAAAACAGGTATTTATGAAAATCTTTTTGTGGATGTTATAAATCTTGCTAGTTATTTTATCTTAAGTATTAGATGTAGTTCCTTGGAATTGTTATTATATATTTATTTTTTTCTACTATAGTTTCAAATAACTTTTCACCAGCATATTATTTACTGACCATATCTACTTTATAACTCAAAATAAGTTGGACAAACAATCTTCTGAATAAAAACTATTTTTTCCAAATATAACCACTCTCATGTGGTTCACCCTTCACCCCTGCTACAGAACACTTATTTATGTAGCCCAGTACCCATCTACAATAATATCTTGATATTTTGACAAATTTTTTAAATCATAAAAATAAAATATTGTAAAATACAACAACCTTTTGACAAGGTTACTTCATCTTCATTCATTATTATGTGACAGTATTAAATAAACTACTACTCAGTAATTGTAAACTATTCTGTGTTTTATCTGTCATTTTCATGTTACTGTCCTGATAACTTGCTCCAAACTCTTCCCATCAAATTGTTTTATTACCATACATTTGTCTACCTTAAAACTAGCTTCATTCACAGAGAATAACCTAAAAGAAGTCTATTAAAAATCCTGTTTTCAGTTTGATAGATTTTTTTTTTATCACTCTGACCGTGAAACTAACTGAAATTATAATGGTTTTTTTCCTCTGCTAGTCACAACACAGATCTTCTGTTCATTTGTTCTCTGTCTACGGGGCACCAACCTCTACAAAGAACCAGCCAAAGGCTAGGTACTTGATATAAAAAGGAATATGACATAATTTTCTGCCCTCAAGTTGCTCTGTCTCCTGAGAGAAACAAGTAATATTTATTATATAATATGTTAAATGCCATAAAAGAAATACAGTCCTTTGATAAATGCTGTTGAATTGGAATTCAATAAAAACTGTAAACTGTAGACCTTTTTATAATCAAATGCTTTTGTTTTAAAACAAAACAGATTCCTCCTTATATTGACTTAGCAAAGGAGGTACAACGACATTAGCATTTGACCTGAAGTATGGTTTTTTTATTGAATGAGCTGTAAGACATTTTTACTGTTTAAAATGAACACTGAACAAATTTGTTATTAATGGTATCTTTGTTAAAAGTAAAACATAGCTCTAAATAAAATACTATATCAAAACCCAGTACTGGAGTTCATTTGAAGTTTGATATTTTGTGTAAAATAACAAACGTATTAACACAGATTTTTTAAATAACTCGGAATCTTATAAAGCACTTCAGTACTTATTTGTTCTTTTTTTCCTTACAAACATTCTGTGTGGTAGGTGGTATTATCTCTGATTTACACATGAAGACATCATTGTTAATGTCATTTATTTATTCATTCTGGCATTTACTATGTGCCAACTTGCACAAGGAATAGAAATGTCTAGATAATAATGAATGTCTAGATAATAAATGTGTTCTAGACAGTTCTAGATTGAACATAGGTCTCCTGCCAACAAATTCTCTCTGCTGTTCACATTACTCTTTATTTAACATATGAACCAGGTTACTAAAATAGGGAAAATCATGTGTCTTAAAACATGAAAATAGTAACGTCTTTGAGGTCACTTGACCTTTTCTAGGTAGGCTTTTTAATGTGTTTTATCTCATTTCTCAATGTTAGAATACGGGTAGATTTAATTTTGCTATATAGGAAATGGTTCATCTTTGTACCAAAATATTGGATTCTTCTGATATTTAGACCGTTGGAAACTTTCTAAAATTAGGATTTTGTAGTGTATACTAAACAATTGCAAATTGCATATTCACAAAAATGTATTCTGAGTATGGTGATATTAAACATTTTTCCCCAAGGAAATTACTGTCATGCCTGTTATTTCTAAAAAATGTACATAAATATTTCTGTGAAAGTTCTTTTAAATTGACCCCCTACAAGACTTCTGTGAAGTCCTTCTCCCTAAATTGAAGCAAACTGTAAACCAAATAAAGATCATGTAAAGCCTTGAAGAGGAATTGTTTTCATTTTTGTTGCTCAAGTTATATCTAAATGTACATTATAGTTTATATGCACTGTTTTAGATACTGGTTAGGCAATCTAGACAAGATATATGAAGGGCTGTAAAAATGGTAAGAGTTTATTCTGACCATAACTTGAGGCTCAGACAAAAATTTATTTGCAGGCTAGGTACAGGGTTCATGCCTGTAATCCCAGCATGTTATGGAGCTAAGGTGGGAGGATCACTTAAGGCAAGGAGTTCAAGATCAGCTTGGGCAACATAGCGAGACACCATCTCTACAAAAATAATAAAATAAAAATTAGCCAAGCACAGAGGCGTGTGACTGTAGTCCTCTAGCTACTTAGGAGGCTGAGGCAGGAGTATTGCTTGAACCCAGGAGTTCAAGACTGTAGTGAACTATGATTGTGCCACTGCACTCCAGCCTGGGCAACAGAGTGCAACCCTGTCTCAAAAAAATAAAAAAATGCAGACAATTGTCAAGGCTCTATTTTACTAACAAAAGGGAAAGAAGATTATGATACTTTATTTTTTCTGATTAAAATATTGTTCAAATACTGTAATTCAAAAAATACTATCTTACTAAGAGAAACTGATCAAACTAGGATGTGCCATACATGGTGTCTGTCCTCAAGGCTACTGGAAAATAATATTCCATTTGTTTATTCCTGCCCTCACTTCTCCCTTACTCTTTCCCTAAGGCCCTTTTAGAATGAGCTCAATCTAATACCACAAATCCATCTTCAAATTGCTCCCTAGTTTTTAAAATCTGTGCTACAAACATTTAAAAAAACAAAATATTTGGGTTTATCGTCAAGAAGGCACATATCGTTTGGGTGCAGTGGCTCACACCTGTAATCCCAACACTTTGGGAAGCCGAAGCAGTAGGATCACTTATAGCCAGGAGTTTGGGACCAGCCTGGACAACACAGTGAGACTTCACCTCTATTTTTATATTTAAAAAGTTTTAATGAGGTATATACCTATTTCTCAGATGAATTTTCCGTTTTTTTTATTTAGCAAACACTCCAAAATGTGTTATTTTTAACTCTTCTCCATTTTCTTAGACTTCCAGTTTTCATGTTCTTCTTAACCACCAAACAAACCTTTACAAATTGCCCTTCCTTTAGCTTAGTCACTGAGCAAACTGTCATCTTTCAGTTCTTACCTTGGATGCTCCCCTCTCTTATGTGACACCATGCCTAAACATACCAAAGTGACATAAGTGCTTTTCTCCTTGAGTCCTGTTTATATATAACTTGGATAAAGTCATCATCTTATTATAATGTAATTGTCTACATGTCCATTTTCATCTGCTGTACTCCTTCAAGGCAGAGACTGTGGTGTATGTGTCTTAGCACTCAAACCACTCAAATACTAGCACATTTCAGAAAATCTAAACCAATCCCTTTGGATAAGATTCAAAAGGGTTGTAAATAAAATGTGATAATTTCCTAGCACACAGTAAGTGCTTTTTGCCATAAGAATAATTTTTGTGAGGCCGGGCGCGGTGGCTCACGCCTGTAATCCCAGCACTTTGGGAGGCCGAGGCGGGTGGATCATGAGGTCAAGAGATCGAGACCATCCTGGTCAACATGGT